ACATTTTATTTGGCAGATTGGCACCGCGTTAAGTAAGCAGAATTAGCTATAAGCAGTTCCTGTTTGCAGTGTACTCATGGAAGAACAGGTAATTATAATAATTTGATACTTAAAAAGTAACTTCAAAACCGGGATGATTCTCAAGAAAAGTATTGGAGTTATGAATATATACTTCTGGATTGATGTATTTGACTTTTTTAAAGACAGAAAGGGTTTTTTAACTACTTTGTCTAAAGCCCCTCTGAATGAGACCTATCTCTTGTATACAAATGTAGTTAGTAGAGGTTGTTGAAATGTTGTTTAGCTGCTATTATTGTACAAGTTTTAACACGAATGGTTGTAGGAAAAGGAGATGAATTCCCCCATAGTAGATAAAGATGGGTTTATGTCTGGGCAAAAGAAAAATACCAATGTCTTTTTTAACACAGCACTTTCATTTAATCCACTACAAAAAAAGAGCCATCTTAAGAGTACCAGTAAAAGCAGAACACGTCCAGCTCCTCTCCTCCGCAGACTGGACTGTTAGCCAAGCAAAGGAAGAAGGACCTTTCAGTCCCAACGTCCATGTTCACATGCAGCAAAAATGCAACGGTACTAGTGTAAAGCCTCTGCAGAAGCAAGAAGGTGCCGAGAGCAGGTCGGGAATTAAATAAAATTAAAATTAAAAACAGCACAAAGCGGAGGAAAAGAAACAAAAAATATTTAAATTAAAACTGCTAGCTGAGAAACAAAATCACACCACAATGGGTAATACTATTAGAAATATTTCAGTTAAAACACAAAAACTCTACCCAGAGGTGTGTGTGACCCGGTCCTGTAATATACTGTACACACATAGATTAACCTGGCTTACTCGTTTGTTTTGTAGCGATACAGTAGGCCGTACAATCATGAAGTAGTGACCGAGCATGCATCTCGATTTGAGCAGGACGTTGTTCACTAACAGCAGATCAGCTGTAGCAGAAGCTGGATGTGATTCTGGAGCGGATGAAGGAAGCTTAGTGTTCACGGTTTGAGGAAACGGCACGAAGACCAGCTTGAGGCAGTTTTCTGGAGTAAGTCATAAAACCCCTCGCATTGTAAGAAACTAAAAACCGGGAAATAAATCATAAAATCTGAGCTATGAAAATCACGTGATCCTTTACAATTCACTGCTTATTACATTAATAATATTGATTACCCCTGCCATGTACATTCAAGCATGAGAGTCCAGAGAGGGAACCCGCTAAAGTGTCTTTTCTCAGTCGCCTACAAAGGTTTCAGGATTGTTTCGTTCAGGAAACCTTTTGTCTTCAAGTGGAAATGCATAGCAGGATAACTCTTCGCTCCTCAAGGGTTCGTTTGTCTCGTCACACGTGGCTCTCGTAGAACACCTGGCAGGGGGCGGGTTTACTGTCGTCTGTGGGTTCGGACTCTGCCTGCTCTACTTCCTGCTCCACTTCCTGCTCCACTTCCTGCTCTACTGCCGGCTCTACTGCCGGCTCTACTGCCTGCTTGACTTCCTGCTCTACTTCCTGCTCTACTGCTGCCTCAGGCTCCAGCTCAGGCTCCAGCTCAGGCTCCTCCTCCTCCTCCTCCTGTTCCAGAGGAGGGAGTGGAGGTGGGGAAGAGGGGGGGGGGCGATGAGGGCGTGGTCTCTGGCTGAGGGGGAGGAGCCTCGATGCTGCAGCAACCTTCGATGGCGAGCTGCGGGTGCACCGACACCTGGATGGCGATGTACTGCGGCTGCTCGTGGACCGACGAGTTGTCCGAGTCGGCGGCGGGCGATTCGCTGCGCTCCCTCTCTCGCCCTCGCTCCATCTCCCTCTCCTGCAGGATGGTGAACACGTCTCTCGCCCCGATGCTCCTGGTGACGATCTCGCGGCACCCCTCGGGCGACTGTCTGAGGAAGGTGTGTCTCATCTCGTCCACCCCCACCACCTCCAGGATCTCCTCCATGAAGGTGCGGCAGTTCATGATGAGCGGCGGCAGAGGGATGCTGCGCGCCAGCTCCTCGATGTACCGCGCAAACTCCATGGTTTTAAACTGTGTGACCTTGGCCAGCTCCAGGGTCTTGGCCGAGGTGATGATGGGGATCCGCTTGGCGATCTCGAAGGCCTTCTGAAGCTTCTCGGCGCCCTCGGTGCGGAAGAACTCGTTGATGGCTTTCTCCGTCTTCTTCAGGTGGCTGCTCATCATGCAGAGGCGCGTGATGTTCAGGGCCATGATGATGGTGAAGGTCACCAAACACACCACCATGTAGTACACGCCCATGTCGCCGTTAGTGATGACCACACGCAGCGTCACCGTGCAGTTAGAGCTGCCCAGAGCGTTGGACGCCATGCAGGTGTACTTCCCACGGTCTGCAAACTCGATGTTGGTGATGTTGAGGATCCCCGAATCCATCAGCCACCATTTCTCCCCTGCAGAGAGACGGAGGAAAGTCATGAGTGTGGCAAACACTGCGTAAAACAAACTACCAACAAACTATGATTCATTATAACTTGGGTTGTGTTATTGCAGCTCTTCTCTAATTACAACCTGTATGATGGTTTGACTCACTTGCGATTTTCTTCATTTATAAAAATAATAATAGATGACATTTGTATAGCGCCTTTCAAAGGACCCAAGGCTGCTTTACATGGTGAACAAACAAACAAACAAACAAACAAACAAAAGGGGCAAATAAGTAAGACATTGAATAAATAGCAGTAGGAGTGGAAGCAGGCTGGGATGGGTTAGGGGTCAAAGGCCATGGTGAACAGGTGAGTTTTTAATGATGACTTAAGTGAAAAGCCAAAGCTATAAAAATGACAGCCAAGTACGAGAAAAAACGCTACAACCAATCCTTTTCTTTCGGTACACACATTGCTGACCTGTTATTTAATAAAAGAGATTATGGACTGGTACTGCATAACCCAGTGAACATGCAGTTTGCCCAGTAACTCACAATCAAGGTTTAAATCCTGAAATCCTCTTAATGCATCTGTTCCCCTCCCCGTGTGATCAACAGTGAACTCTCCTCTGCTGTCTAATAGGAACTGCTTATTCAGATGTGCTGATGTTGTACTTCTGCACTGACTCTTTTTAAGCTCAAGAGAACACATTGTTTTGGCACTAAATCAATGGAAAACAACAAGTGTCTGTGAGCCTGGCAGCGGTTCGTTAACATTTGTTGCGTAAGCCCCGTCTGTGCCTTTCTCAATGTTTGGCGCTGAAATTAAAAGCCATTTATGATCACTTTATGGTAATGTATATTTATATCGGCTTGTGTGTTCAGATAGAAGGGCAGCAGTGACCTTATTATTCGTGCCTTCAATATTTAAACAGGTGGGGCTGCTCTGTGTGCTGAGGTTTGAGATCTATTTACATGTTGGAGAGGTTTAAGGGTTGTTTCTCTCACATTACAAAATAAACCATCTTCAAAGTCACAATTAGGTCAAATGTCAAAGCACACTGTTCAAACCAAGGCAAAGTGGATACAGGCAACAGAGCACCTGCAGAGCCATTCAGTGGACACCGGAGTGTCGGGTTTATTTGCTTTGTTTATCAGTTCTTATCTAAGTAATAAAGTGTTGATTCTGACTGATAGTGATCGAGCTTTATTGTGATGTGACACCCTTTGTGCGGTTCAAAGGGATAGTTTGACATTTTAGGAAATCCGCTTATTTGCTTTCTGCGGGAGAGATAGATAAGAAGATTGATGCCACGCTCGTGTCTCTCTTTTCAATATAAAGCTGAGGCGGCAGATGGTTATCTTAGCTTAGCTTAGCACAAAGACTTAAAACAGGGGAACTATAAGCATACACCCTTTGGCCTTTTTACTGTAAAAAGACAATGTTCCTACAAAGCTGTGTTGAAGGTTAATGAAATGAATATTATATATATGATTTTTTTATACATAATAACCCTTGAATGACTTAAATGTCCCTCCTTTGCACTCAAGTTGCTTCTGTGATGGACCCTAGAGGTTGAAGTTCTGCGAGTTCAGCAAAATACAAATGGTAAAAACACATGCATAATATTTGGATACTTGTCATGTTAGGGATTCAAGTGTCCTTTTAAACAAAGGAGGTAAACCCAGGGTTGTTTTGACATTTGTTCGTTAAGTCAGTCTTTATGCTAAGCTAACAGGGCTGCTGGCTGGACTGTACTGTACTGTACTGTCAACAGTTATTTGTATTTTCTACCTTTGGTTTAATACCGCTCCTGATAAAAATGACAACCCCCAGAGCAGCATTTCATCCACATGCAGCAAAGTCTTGAGGAAAATGATAGACAGATATCACAGAAGGCGTTTGTAAATCCATAGTCTGAGGTCTGGAGGAGACGATGAAACGATTCCCCCGTCTTCTCCATGCTCTAACGATTGATTTCCCACACTGCTATCCTCTGGAGGAGATGAACGGGGTTCAGAAAACGCAGCCAGGCCGACAACAGCGTCCCGTCCATCCGCCTTCTCCACTGAGAGATTTCTCATTTTAACCTCAATCACCGGACCATGTGATGCGATTGATGTGCTGCCCAATACTACAAGCAACTTTGTAGGAAGGGGGAAAGGCAGCTTATAAATGCCTGATATCTGCAGAGGAAACAAGAGCAGGCAGGTTGGAGTCACTGCTCTGGAAGTGCTGCCTGCTGTGAGGGAAACATCCTCCTCGCTCATTATATTCCTATGTGTCGCCCAGGGGAGAATCTCTATGATGGTGCACTGGGTTTGTGAGTCATAATAACACTGCGCTCTGATGGCAGGCTTCAACAGACGGGCTCAGGAGAAGCATCACAACGTCTGTTCCCTTCCTCAGGTGAATCACAGTAATCAAAACACAGGCGGAGGAGGCTCGGCTTTAATGAAAATCACTACTAAAAACCTCTTTAAATGGTTTCCTGAATCTAATTAGCAAACAGCAAAGGAAATAATCACTTCTGTGTTCAGACAAAATGTGAAATAATTAGCCAAATCTGTTGAGAACCAATCCTGACTTCTCAACATGAGGGCGTTTTAGAGAAACGTCTGGAACTATGACAAAAAAAACGTTGCACAAGGTTCCCTGTCTCGTCCTTGAATATACAAAATATCTTTCCCATGTAACAGAAGATAGTATTTGATCACATAATTCAACATATCTGCAGTCATAACCTTGCAGTCGTCTCGAAAAACGTGATTTCCTGTTCTTTCAATGTAGCATGTACATTTTTAACAGTTCTTCTTTTCTCCTAAAAGAGACAAGGTGTGCTTCAACCCTTTCTATGATTGGTATTCTACGATGCGCACTGAAACACCTGAGAGTACTGTTTTCCACACACACTGGCTGTGCCTTTAAATGATGCACAGCGTCAGGACCCACCACCGTCATATTTCCCAGTGACTAAGCTGAAAACACCCCCAGAGAAGCACATTTGGGTGAGTATCCTTAAGACCTTATCTACGTATTGTATACTACATTAGGAATGCCAGTTATAACACTCTAAATGAAATATCTGTTTCTAGGGATGGGTGGTATGTAATGTGATATTAATAGACTGTCCACCAAGGTGAGATCTGGCCAGAGCTATGGGCATTTCCTGCATACCTTTGAAGGATTTTGGACCAAATTTCGTATGAAGTGTTGTTAATTGAATGCACTGGTTTATTCAAAACAAGCTATACTGCCACAGAAAACACAGTACAAAATAATAAGTAGTGTGCAGATTCTTGCCCATAACTTGAGTCCTCCGGGTTTATTTCTGCGACACAAACGATTGGCTGAATACAATATGCGACACCTGGAAGTGTCACTGAGCCAGGCAGCGGGCCAATGCTACCCTTAATAGCGGATAAAATGGATGTGTGGCCATTTTTATAGAGTGTATGCACATCTCATAAATGCCCCCTGGCTATCTTTGAGATTTTGAGATACAGAATGTGAACCATGTTGATACACACTGAGCAGGCTGAGGAGAATTTTCATATCCTGTTGGAAACCATGCGTGTACTGACTACTAATTCAAGTGTTACAACTATATTATGCACATAAATGTTAACTTTCAGAAGCCAAATTCAGAGTGAATAATAAACCAGACACTCCTAGCATTGCTGGTGACAAAGAGAGCAGGAGTTTTAAGTAACGGTACAATCTGTCTTACCATTAGTCTCCGTGTCCAGGCGCTCTCCATGGGAGTTGAACCACTGAACACTGGGGAACGGCTCCCCGGTGATATTGCAATCAATCAGCGCACAGTTCCCCTCACGGGCAATTATCTGGTTCACTTTTGTGAACACAACCGGGCCAAATCCGTCTGTCACATTGCCGCTCTCTGTTTGGTTTGCGTCCGTGTCCACTGATAAGGCCCCAGTGGTGTGAGAGGCGATAAGGGATGCCAGGATCAGGAAAACGTATCCTCCAGCCCACTGCATTTTCTCCAACTGTTGGTGCGTCACCCGCGGGGGAAGAGACTCTGTCATGCCTCCTGGTTATCCATCCAGCACACTGGCTATCTCTTTGAAGTAGAAGGCAATTTGGTATTAAGCTCTGTGGCTTGAAACATCTCACTAGAAAACAAGAAGGTGAATGACATGTGTTAGTCATAATGCTGCAGGACTTAACAACACAGCAGCACGATACAAGGAAACAGACATTTACATACTATTACAATTACTCAAGACAGCATTATCTGGACCCTCTATCGTACATTTGAACTGGGTTTAACCTCTGTATTTATTTGAGGATTAACTGGTGCTCAAAAGAGTGCTTCAGTAACTTCATTAAATATAGGACCAGGTACCTCTGATTTGATGATAACAATTCATATTCACGGTTTAGGACTTGGTTGGGGTCAGAGACAATGTTGTTGGCCAGCTTCAATATTTTGTTATGGTAAGCTGATTCATATAGTTTCTCACAGTGTTGACCCACAATCTTTGACAAATGCCATCACAAAATTCACTACCGCCCAAGGTAAAATCTTCAAGTAGCTGTTTTTTAATCAACCCACACCAAAGGTACAAAGATATTTAACTTAAACTATATACATTACCTATACTATAAATGGAATAAATAAACATGTTCCCCTCCAAAGTCATTGTGTTGTAGATGTATGATTTCACATAATCCATCAGCACTGAAATCATTGCCTGTACTATTGATCTTACATATTGAGCATATTCATGTTCATTCAGTTAAGTAAAATTACTGCATTTAGTCTGTTACACAAAGCTTTGTGTAACAGACTAAATGCAGTAATTTTCTAGACTATCTATTCTACGTGTTCACAGCTAAAAGCAGCTTAGCTATGAACATTCACAATACATGTAGGTATCCAAAACGTGCAATAGAGCTACATTAGGTCATCTGAAACTTAAATTAAACTAACAGATGTATCCTGTTATAAGAGATGCATTTTTTGCTGGATTTGAAGGAAAAACAAAGCCACTGCAACATAACGGAACTGTATGTGGGATCCGTCTAATTCCCAGTTCGCTTCGTTTTTCCCACACATAAAGCCCCAGAAGATCGCATATCCGGCTTTTAAATGCACACCGATGATGACATCTTCAAGAATAATAGTTTATTGAATTACATCAGTCATGTCATGTGAAAAAGCTTTGAAGATTTCGTGCGGTTTGATCGCCAGACATCACAAAACAAGGGCGTGGGACACGGCTACGTGATGGAGGGTTTTACATCACGGGACCCTTTCTAGAAATGTGCAAACAAGCGAGGTAGCTCTTTAATAATATGACACATTATTTAAGTGTAACTACAGTTAACGAAACATATTATAGGAATAAAGTGAATGACGTCAAAGCTGCATTTATGTCGAGGGTTGCGGTAAGGTTACCTCCTGCAAACGACCAACTTAACGTCGACGTCAGCAGCTCAAACGTTGACGTAAAGCCTATTTAATAAGATATTTTACAGGTTATAAATACATATATGTATACTCACATCATTGTCTGTCGTTGTTAACGTTTAGTGGGGAACACCAGAGGAGTGGATGTCCGTCGTTAGCTGTTTCTCCGCATCTCCATCCTCCCCCTACCGATAATAGTCCGCTATAACCTGCAGATCCAGACTAAAGACTGGAGGAAACATCGCCCAGTGGTGTATGCAGAGCAGGTGGAGCAATTACATGTTTATTAAGACTAAGATTTATAGTAATAACACCTTGCCCTCTATGAGCATTCATATCAACCCTGAAATGGGACCTTAATTGCATTTCAGTACATTTTAAGAAGAAATGTGTATATGTCTGTCTAGCCTAGCCTACTGGTAGAACATATAATCAGAGGTGGGAGAAGTACTCTGAACTTGTAGGCTACTTGAGTAAAAGTAGAAGTACCAGAGTGTAGGAATACTCTGTTACAAGTAAAACTCCTGAATTGCAAATCAAGTAAAACTACAAAAGTATTAGCATCACAATATATTTAAAGTACCAAAAGTAAAAGTACTCGTTCTGCAGATTGGTCCATTTCAAAATATTACAGTACAGTACTACTTGAGTAAATGTACTTAGTTACTTTTCACCATTGCATAAAATAGATGGATGTTGTTGTCACAGGGGTCCCTATTATTGATATTTCCTCACACCAGTTTAAAGCTGCATCAATAGACATTTTGGCCACTTATGGGCAGTAAGCACAAGGCATGATAATGTTTTTAAGTTGAGAGGGCAACCAAGAGAAATTAGCATCCATTTAGAGTCATGTTTCGAAACCTAACAACATTCACTCCTGACGTTAATATGTGCCTGTTACATGCCATAAATGCTCCATAAAGCTACGAAAAGATTGAGAGCTAGGTGATAATTACCTTTGATTTGTCAATACAAGCCACCCGTTTCACATTTCTCTCAGTCATCAGTGCAGCTTGCATGCACCAAATCTCAACCCAACAGCTATGCAACATTTTGAGACTTAACATTTAGTTTTTTCTTTCAATATGTCACTCATCTGTATTCCTGACGTGTGTGCAGCCTGGCCTTGAAGCTTCCTGAGCAGACAGCAGCAGCTTGGCAGATTTCCAGTTTGTCATCGAACAGTACAGAAAAAGACGGCCTTGAAAACCTTGCTTGCATAAAGGTAAAGTGCTAGTGCTTTTAATTTGGTTTTGCAGGTAGTGGTTTGAGTGCTTTAAGACGTAGAATACAATGACAGGTAAATGGAAACCCATTTCCTCTGCATTTATGATTATTGAAAGCTAAAAGGTTGGAGTATGAAAAGACGTTAAGGTTGACTTCAGTATTGTGGATAGAAGCTGCAATATAAATAGGATCTGGGGCCTACAAAGCAGGAGGGAACAGCACACTTCCCATTGAAACCAAAATCATTCCTGGAAGAAATTGAGGCAGAACAGAAGCTCTTCTAAATAAAGACTAGGTCAGGGTTATGTTTGTGTACAGGAGCTGATAAGTGACTGACCTTGAAACCACTGTTAAAGTCTGAAATGGACACTCTGTAACAGGTCAAACAGTCAATAATGCTCCATCTATGTATAGAAATATGGATATTTAAAGTAATGTGTGTGGTTGTGTTTATCACACATTACATTAACTGTTCTCTAAGTACAGTTTAGAGGTTCTGGTGCTTTCTTTTTCACATTTTCTAATATATTGTTCTTTTTCTACATTCAATTTCATAACATTTGAAGGTAACTTTCTGTAAGGGTTCCCTCTTTAATACTTGCATTTGACTGCTCATATTTTACTTTTACTAGTCAGGACACTAATCTCTTATTAGAGGATTCCAGTACCTTTTCTTTCAGCTGCAAAAGCCTGATTTTTAAGCCCACAATCTGACCCCATTTTTCTTCACGGATGAATGTTTCAGCTTTACACAAACACTCCTGAGAGCTCAGTCCCTCTGCTCACGAGGTGCCACATATTTACACAGCGGGGAGGAAGTCTGTGCCAAGGGAAATAAAACAGGGTCCACCAACTCACAGAACGTTCTGATCGCTAACCACGCATGCTGTTTATTCAGGTCATCAGGGCCCAGTAGTTGAACACTTTTAATCTCAATCAGATCCGATCAGATTTTGAAATCCCATTTTTTGTGATCCAGGATCAGACAACTCGGCCAGATTTTGTCCCAGTATTTCAAAGCAATTCAGGATAGGATCACCCTGATCCAGATTCAGACTTTTCAAGATTACTAGATCCTGAATATCAGTGCTTTAATCCTACAGATCTCGATCTAGTGGATATGAAAAATAATACAAGGAAGAATAGAATAGAATCGGGGGGGATGAAACCCTCTTTAATGGTCACACATGCAGAGCACACAGCACACACAGTGACATTTGTTCTCTGAATATAACCCATCCTAGTACCAGGAGTCTAGTGCTAGGAGCAGTGGGCAGCTATTGTACAGCGCCCGGCAGAGGTGGGACCAAGTCATTGTTTTGCAAGTCCGAGTCAAGTCTCAAGTCTTTGCGCTCAAGTCCGAGTCAAGTCTCAAGTCTTTGTGCTCAAGTCCAAGTCAAGTCTCAAGTCAGGATGGGAAAGTTCAAGTCAAGTCCAAGTCCTAAACTTTGACAAAACGAGTCTTAAACAAGTCATTATGTGCTTTTCAAGTCAGAAGGCTCAAGTCCAAGTCAAGTCCCGAGTCATTGGTGTTCAAGTCCAAGTCGAGTCGCAAGTCTTTTGTGATGTTGTCAAGTCGAGTCCAAAGTCATCAAATTGGTGAATCGAGTCTGACTCGAGTCCAAGTCATGTGACTCGAGTCCACACCTCTGGCGCCCGGGGACCAATGGGAGTGGGGGCGGTGTCCGGCACGGCAGGGCAGGAGGTGAACTGGGACCTCTCCAAGTAGCAGTCCACACTCCATATTTTTAGGTCTGGTCGGGGACTTGAACCGGCGACCCTACGGCTCACAGTCCAAGCCCCTACTGACTGAGCCACTGCCGGACGACAACAGACCACATTGCAGAGACTTCTATAATGTCTAATTATATTTTTAAATACATAAAAGACATCAAATCATAATGGAATTGTAATTTAAAAAAACACTCCCACTAGGGTAACAACAACACAACATTCATTGAAAGGCAGCTGGATCATCCAGGCGTGCTTTGAGGAGCTGAATTCTAAGTGAGGTTTCAGTTTGCTGAAGCCGGCACAGCTGTATTTGTTCTTTGGCCAGACGGATCTGCATCTCTGCCTTCTCCGTTTCACGGCTCAGCAGTGTCTCGTAGGCATCATCCCTCTGCTCTGGTTGTCTGGTGCGCTTGCATTTTCTCTTTCGAGGCGGCTCTTGCAGTGTGTCATCAGGCCTGGCTGAAGGTCCAGCTTCTGGATCCACATGGGTCAGGAGGACCTCGTCTTGAATGGTGTGTGTCACATCGGGTGCATTGACGACCTGAAATGAAAGTTTACCTATACTTTATACCCCTTAATAAGATGATCAAAAGCATGCAAGCTCCTGGAAATGGTAGTACTATAAGAACAAGGATGCTATATAAGGAATATAGCCATAGTACTATGAAAATAGCAATTATACAAGATAATAATTGTAGTTCTATAGGGACAAGGATAAAATGACACATACCTGCGACTCACCATCCAGTACGTTTGATATTCCATGTAAAGATTGTGACTGCTGACCACCAATGATATCAAGCACCACATCTGTGTATTGTCCCCTTTTATATGGTTTGTTACCCGTCAGTGGGCTTTTAGCCTGGCTGTGGTCTTTGGTAGCATGCTGCTTCAAATTCTTCCACCTCAACCTCACTTGGTCCACCGTCCTCTTGTGTCCAGATCCTGTGGCATTCACATTGTCTGTCACCTCCATCCATATTCCGCTCTTCACTTTAGTCGCTCCACCCTCTCTGTTAAAGCTACCAACTATGGAGTCATAATTATTCCTTACACTCTGCAGCAGTGCACGGGTCTCAGCAGATGTAAAATTCGGCCCCTTTTTGTCCATCTTTCCAACTCACTGGTTTGGTTTATACTGAAACATATTTTTAAATAAATTGTACAGTACATTTTGCTCTGGAAATCCAGCCCTCTGGTGGGATCAAGATAATCCAGTTTTTTGGGGATCAAACTGATCCCAATCCTGTGTTGTCGGTTTGAACTACCCGTTTTGAAGATTTGATCCAGATTAAAGCTTGGATTTGATGTCCTGATCTGATTGGATATCAAAGTAATCTTAATCCTGTTTTTTGGTTTTGAACTACCCAAAATCCAAATCTGATCCGATCCGATCAGATAGGGATTCAAAGTTTTGAACTACTGGGTGCAGAACACAAGGCGGGTCAACCCCCAGTGACAACATAGCCTCAAAACCTCATAATATGCAAAAGCAGAAGATTATCTGACACCATTCACCCGCTTGCTTGCAATGTGGAGTTTTAAGAACAACTTTACTGTGTTTGGACTTGTGGCTGTCTTCTGTGTCAGGTTAACACTTGTTGTTGACGCTGCAATTATTGCTATCCCTGAGGTTAAAAGAGTGTGCAATCCAGTGTAGGTGTAACTGTTGTATCCACAAGGGAAATATATGTTGTTTAAAAGGAAAAAGACTCAAACGACCAAATACAAAGAGATTTACAAAGTGTTTATAGAAAGTGTATTTACTTTTTTATACAGTACAGGGTTCATGTGTAGTGTATTGATGCAGCAACAAGTAATGAGATTAGCAACTGTCATCTTTTAACGTAATGTCGTCTTTTCATTTGTTTTAAAACTCATTCATTTGTACGAATGGTTCAACATTCAGCACCAAGTACATGGACTCTGAGTGTCCTCCATTGGCTCTTTTAACATTTTAGTCCGAGGTTAGACAATATTCAAATATATTTAAACTTTAATATATTTTAAAAAGAATCCTTCACCAATAACTTAAACAAAAAACAGCATCTTCAAGGGGAAATACAAATCTTCGTTGATCACTTAGCCTCCTTGATGAGAGATGAGAGTCTTCTGAAAGCCTGTCGAAAATTGATGAGAGATTAGAGGGTGTGTGTGTGTGTGTGTGTGTGTGTGTGTGTGTGTGTGTGTGTGTGTGTGTGTGTGTGTGTGTGTGTGTGTGTGTGTGTGTGTGTGTGTGTGTGTGTGTGTGTGTGTGTGTGTGTGTGTGTGTGTGTGTGTGTGTGTGTGTGTGTGTGTGTGTGTGTGTGTGTGTGTGTGTGTGTGTGTGTGTGTGTGTGTGTGTGTGTGTGTGTGTGTGTGTGTGTGTGTGTGTGTGTGTGTGTGTGTGTGTGTGTGTGTGTGTGTAAGTGTGTGTGTGTGTGTGTGTAGTGTGTGTTAGTGTGTGTGTGTGTGTGTTTAAGTGTGTGTGTTTGTTTAAGTGTGTGTGTGTGTTTAAGTGTGTGTGTGTGTGTGTGTGTGTGTGTGTGTGTTTGTTTAAGTGTTTGTGTGTGTGTGTACCTCGTCTATCTGCTCGGGTGTGGAGAGAGAAAAGGCAGCTCTGACGTAGGGGCAGGGGTCACTGCTGTTGATCATGAAGACCCCCCCGGGAACCAGCAGCACCTACAGCGCACAAACACACATGACTTATGTTAATCAATGTTGTCTTAGTTTAATGCCAGATTATTCTCGGAGGCTAGACAGACAGGTAAATATTGATTAATCCTATTGTTATGGGAACAAAACCATTCTTTTCTAATATAATCAGCAGTTGTTTGTGTGTTCAATTAATTGCAAATGCAGACATATTTTAACTGGCCAATAATAGTCCAACACATAACTCCTAAATTGTTTTTATACTTGATTTTCATACAGATCAAACAACCATGGTAATTAGTTAGCTTTAGCAGTGCTGGCTTTTTTATTAGTTTTCATTTGGATGGATCAAAGCTAACTGTTTCTCCCTGCCTTAAGTCTTTGTGCTAAGCTAAGCTAACCCAACCCTACAGGAGTTGTGTTTCCCCCTGTATAAGCAGGGCAGAGACTGCTGTGTGGTAGTTTATAATATCCTGAAACCTAGGAACATCCTGATAATACCCACTCTTGTTTAAACTCGGCTAATCAGCTATTTGCTAGCAGGGATTTAGATGCTCAGTGTGGGAGGGGAAACACTCAGCTTCTCACAATGGCAGCGTCCTACACACTGTTCAGACACAAAACCTGCTTTGCCCCTTATGCAAAACATCTGCTGACAGACAGAGACTTAACAGAGCGGAAAGAAGCAATGGAATGCATTCTGGGTACTGATATTATAGTACAGAAAGTTAACCTGCAGTAAGTACATTTGGTTTTGTCTCATATTAAACCACAAAGAGGATTAATGTGTGAGGGTTAGAGTGAGATACAACAGGTAGAAGGTGTGTGCTGACCTCTTTCTCCAAGGCTTTCTCCATAATGAGCTGCTGGGTATCGGCTATGCCCTTTAGCTTGATCCACAGGAACATGCCTGCTGATGGAGCGTGCCACTCTGCTACATCTAACACACACACACACACATTAGAAAAAGAACAAGAAGGAACGCCTGGGGTGTGTGCTTCATGACTCATCCCAATTGTATCTGCAGTCTCTTATTTTCATCACGTTTCAAAAGATTCTCATCAATTTAACCAAATACGAACTATGCACTGTCTATTATTATTACGTCTTTTGACTTGTTCACACACCTTTGAGCCACTTGTCTGCAGAGCTGATCATGGCATTGCGTTGTTTCCTGTAGAACTCAATCACCCTGTGGGAGGAGAGAAAACTGTGTCATTCACCGCTGCCAGTGTGGCCTAGTGACTTATTCAAAATGGCTGTATGTGTTTCAATATCAAATATCTTTCTTAACTAGTCGAACTAGTAATGTCGAGCAGGTGCAGCTGCATTAGGGGAAGTCGCGTACCCGTCTATGTGTTGAAGGAAGCCATCTTGTCCCCAGCTGTGCAGCAACTGAGACACCATGAGCTGTGAGGAAGCAGGTTACATGTTATATACTGTAATGACTGGAACAGATCAGAACATTATTGTACTGTAAAATGACCCTAAGGTATACAATCCCCCCTCAGATCTGTACATCTGGAGTGTGACGCACCTTTCTTTCTTTGACTTAAAATGCTTTCTCCTTTCATGGTTCTAATTTTAAATATCTCCGAGTTATTGCCACTGTTTTAGTGCAGATTATATAAAAAAGCAGAGGCGAGGTTGACAGCAGATCCTAATTAATCTCCCTCTTCCTCCTCTGCAGCTGCTCCACAAAGACTCGCTTGGCCTCAACACATCTCCTGGCAGTGTGTACAAGTCTGCACTGTCACTGTGTGTGTGAAGAGAGCATGCTGAACCTCCCTGTTGTGAGCTTAATGCTGCATGGTAAATGTCAGGTTGCTGGAGGTTGAAAGCATCAAAGACGTTAGCCATCAAATGCTATGTATCTGTGAGGTTCTATCTGCTGTAGTTTAGAATGAATAAATGACTTCACACAGTCAAAAGCATCGATATGTTTGCATCCAAACCAGTAATGCAGCATTTTGATTGAGCAGGGTGTGGCGGTGTGAGGCGATGGCTTCATTTACCTGAGTGAAGGTGCTGGTGTGCATGGTGGAGGCCTGGATGTGCAGCACCACCCTGTCCACCAGAGGCTTGGGACCCGTCACAAAGCCTATTCTCAAACTGAAACAAACAGAGTCAAAGACATCAACATATATACTTTATTTTCCTTTAGTCTTGAATAGAAACCCATTATCCATGAAACAGTAAAGCAAGGAATCAACGAACAAACAAAAGATGGATATCCTGACTGACCCTGAAGAAAATGTGGCTAACAAATGTCCTCATGTACAGTCAGCACCACTAAGCCTAAAACCTGTCAAAGCATGTTATAATATTTCAAACATCGGATTTTTATGACTTGAATCTGAAGAATGTGAACAGGGTCTTAAAGTTGAACATGGTTATTGGTGTATTTGTAAAAGGACGTGTCTATAGTCTGTTAAAATGTGTTTTTAGAGGCAAATTAACTAATAGATAATGTCGTTTTTGTAAATATACACTTTGAGGTACAAAAAGATATCATATAACTGGAATCAATGTGCACAACTGTGAAGGACACCCCCATTAGCCCATAGTCTACGTATGAGCGACACATCCTGTTTGTAATTCAGGTCCTGACTCTTTAAGGGAAACAAACATTTTAACAGCAGAGCTTCACACGCTCTGGGTTTGAACACAGAGTGAGACGCTCACCCTGAGGACAGGATCTTAGAGAAGGAGTCGGTCCTGAGGATCCTCCCGTCAACATCCATGGAGAGGAAGGTGGGAGCCCACGGCTGCCAAATAATGAGTCACATCATAAATCATACTTTGAAGACCAAAGTCTATTTAAAATAGAAAATGGAATCATTCCCAAAAAGAACCACATGTTTTTGTCTAAGTAAACATTCTGCTTCAATCCCTAGTACTTAGCATTGAGCTTTCCTAAAACAACAGTTTTAATTCATTTCAAAACGGTTTGCTCTGCTGCTGCACACAAAGTGAGGCTTCCACCGATATAAAAAAAAGTCAACACACTTATCAGGGTAGGATGTCGTAAAATATGACGACTTATAGTCAAAGCGTTATTCAAAAAATCTAAATAGAAGATTTAAATGTTTTAAAAAAAAGGGCTCCTCGGTACAGCCTGTATGCTAAGATCAGAGCACAGAGTAATAACAGAAAACACAGATTGATTATTTCACCTTTTCAAATGTGAGAAAATGAACTGTCTCTGCCAAACACTTGATGTGAGGGAACTCTCTTTGTACCTTGTCAAACTGCAGGAAGTAGTACGGGTCGTCCTCGATGATCAGCATGTCGTACTGCCTGGCCAGCTATTAACGACACGGGGGACGTTCATTAAAAAACGACTGAGTGAATCTGCAGGGAAATCAGCTTCACGACAAGCTCTAATTAGCTGAGTCAGCGCTCAAATGGCCACTTTGCATCAATCAGAGAGTGGTGATTCATTAACCATCTGCCGTGTGAACATGCAGTCATATTCCAATCTAAATGAGGCTGTGATGTGTGACTTTGTAGAAGAAGACAAACCTCGTACACTTCCTGCTTCCTCTGCGTCGTCATGGAGGCACCGGTGGGGTTTCCTCCGTTGGGGATGGTGTAGAGGATCTTGGGGGCGGTGCTGCCGGGCTTGTGGACCTCTGAGGGGTCCCAGCGAGACAAAACCTCCTTCAGGGCCGCAGGGATCATGCCGTGCTGATCGCTGGAGACGTTTATTAAGTTGCAACCCAGAGGCCGGAGCTAAAAACAAGAAGGTAAGAGGGTCACAGCAGCTGGAGTTACTGTAGGAGTGTGGAGTCATAAAGAAACAAAGCATTTTCTCTCACCGCTGCTAATGTGCCTGAATAGGTGGGAGCATCCAGCAGGACGTTGTCTCCGGGGTTGACCAGCATCTCAAACAGCTAGAAAACCCCAAACATCTGAATCACCATCACTTCAAAATGAGTTTATATGGAATTCTTATCAAATATATAACAGTCAGGACGTTTTAAACTGATACAAATTAAAGGACAACTGGTAAACAACAGGTCATAAAAACAACATTGCAGAAAAAAACTGTCACTTTTTATGTGGATGTCAAACTAGTGTTGCCAGTATGTCGATAGTTGAAGCTTAAATTCCCCAGTGTGTGCATCAGGAAATCTGTTGTTCCTCCTGCATTCAACGTCTTTCTTTGACGTGACAACAACTGATTGGTGGTGAGGAAGAACCACAGGCTTTTGGCTTGCATTTGTTTTCACATTCCTGTCCTAACAGAATCAGAATCAGGTGCATTATGAGAATTTGGCCTGCTGGGACCCTCGGGGTGTCAGAAACTTGCACACATTATTCCTGGATCACGTCGGCGCTAACAGCAAGGCTCTTTGCAAACTCAGTCAATATGTTGTGCTTCAATGGACTTCATTTCACCATCATCATCCTTAGCTGATCCCCTAACCGCCTGCTACTATAACAGCTGACAGTAGAGGTGGTGTGGGTACCTTGCAGAGCCCCTCCTGGCTCCCCGTCGTCACACACATCTCCATCGGGCTCGGAGGGTTGTGGAGGTCCTTCTGCAGTTTCTTCATCCACGTCAGCAGCTCGGGGATTCTACACAGTGATGAAAATCAACCCCAGAACTGAACATGCTGTTATAATGCTGTCAGTCCAGTTAATTATAGTTTTATAAAAGCACTTTTAGGTGCTGTTGCTGGGTAGGTTTGAGTAGATATACGTGTATTGTGTTTGGAATAGGCATAAAAAAGTAACAAAAACGTCTCACCTAAAAACGAAAAATCAACATTAGGTTAAATGAACACTATATTTCAGCCTGACGCAGTTTAAAGAGGCAACTGTTGAATAAAATAAAACTTTAGTAGCAGAATGATAACCTCCACCTGCTGCTGCACACTTTTCTGAGGTAATCTAAAGTAATGTCCCTGTTTTTGTTCTGGAGATTCTCTCACCCGTTAGAGGCGGAGTACTGCAGAGCCCTCTTCATCAGCGCCTCGTCGAAGTTGAGCGTCTGTCCGTCCTTCAGCCTGAAGGAGGCTGACAGGAAGGGGAAGGTGTTGGGGTTTGGAGCTCCTCCGGCCAAAGAGATCATAGTCGGAGGAGACCGCTGCTGCAGCTCAGCTGATTACAGGCAGAGAGATGGATGAGAGGGACTGATTTACTAGCAATCTACATTCGTAATCATTTCCCCATTTTATATACATATAAGCTGTGTTTTAAAGCATACTTGGCTGTATGTGTGTATGTCCAGGTTAATAGGAGTGACATCGAATAATGTGACATTTTTTGTAGAATTAATTGATTTGTTGATCCATAAAATGTCATATTTGTTCACTTAAAGTATCCAAAAGTGATGCCTATATATTGCACATTTACCCACAGTTCAAAACCAGTGAATAGGGGCTGCACTGCTAAACTTATAGCAGGTAAGCCTATACATGCATTCACTAGATAACACAACATTTTCTTCATATTTTTCTATGAAACGAGTGTCACATTTTCAACACGTGTTTATTTAAAAATACTCACTCAGCATCCTGATGGCGGAGGGCTTTCTAGCTGCACTGACAGCTGTCAGAAACCGAGCGTAATTCATGATCCTGCAGAATTAAAACATCTGAAATATTCATCCTCACAGCTCACATATAAATACATTGCATTAACTTTCTCAGCCTCCACATGTTGCTGGAAGCCTGAAAACATTAATCGGCGTATTATTATTTATAAGTTAACTTGTTATCAAATAGTTCCCAAATAATTATTGTTGTAGCCTACTACAGACCAGCAGCACTGTCACATTAGATTCATGTTATAAAGAAACTCCGTAAAAGTGAGCCCACATAAGCACCAGGTGAGATACCTGTTTTTGGGACACTGCAGTGCCGAGGTGCATACACATTATACTCGATACATGTCTTAAAGTCACACTAATAAAGGTATTAACTCGACCACGTTCCGCTTTCTACAAACTAACCTTGCGTAACTCGGCTTGACCCCACCGTGGACCTTTTGTCCGAGACCTACAGTGGTCATCTCGCGATACATGCAAAGTTAACTAATCCTCCAAGATGTAAAAAAACAATAAACAACTAAAATTGAGCTAACAGTTCAATAACTTAGCTTAACTTTTTGATATTATATTCTTCGGGTCAGTTTCATGTAACTAATTTGAGTTAGGCTTAATTACTAACGGAGACAATGGATGTAGATCCTTACCGATGTGAAGTCTCGCTCTTGTTTGACCGGTTTTTTTTTCCTCCACTAAGAGGCAGTATACCGGATCTCAAAAATAACCGGAAATGACGAAGAAGATGGAGTTCCGTGTTGTTAGCTTAGCTTAGGCGGTGTGCTTACTAGAATGATAACAACGTTATGAAGCGTCTTAATCATTATAATATAATGATTGTATGTTACTGTTAGTTCATAACAGTTAAGGGTGAATTCGCCTCAGCTTTGCAGCATGGGCTTTCTTTCAAAATGGTAAATGTTGTTGCTTGACGTTGAATGTTTGCTAGTTTATGTGATGAGGGATCATATGGCTAAATAAGGATCAAGCTAACTCTTTGAAGCTAGTTTACTAAATATAAGGTTATTGCTTAGCTAACTCAACAAATAGAGAACATTTACATGCATTTAAATCGATTTAATGTAACGATTTCAGTAATAAGCAGTGCAGTGTAAAGTAACATGTACATTTACTCAAGTACTCTTCTGACAGACTTGTACTTTACTAGAGTATTTTAATTGTTTGCTTGAACTCATACTCCACTACAATTCAGAGGCTAATAGTATACTTTTACTCTTTATTTTGCACTGTATTCCAACAGTCTGGTACTTCTACTTTTACTCAAGTATAAGATCTGAGTACTTCTCCCACCTCTGGTAATCAGGTGCGTTTTCCTCTCAGTTTTGCAGATAACTTGGAGAGTTCTGCTGCCATGTAGATCTGCTCACTGGCTGCTGTTCTCCGTGTTTACATCCCTGTTGCCGCTTCAATGGGGAAAAGGAAAGACATGATTCACCCCAGGTTCCTCGGTGAGTAAATAACAGTACTGGCATTTACAGTCTTTCTCAGTCACTACATTTCTCAGATGACAATTAAAACAGACTCTCAGTTTGTAGTTCATTGGATTCGTTTTCACAAACCAGTTGTCCTAAGATGTGGAGCACATTTTATATTCATATTAATAATAACACACATGTATCTCATGTATCTGTGTCTCCCCTCTCTTCCTCTCAGGTGAGGGCGGCTCCAGCCTGCACAGCGTTCACAAGCGCAAACACAAAAAACACAAGAAGCACAAGAGGAAGCACCACAGCTTCCCCGAGGCCCCGGAGCCCCCCCCGGTCCCTCGGCCCCCCCCACAGCTCCGACTCAAGATCAAACTGGGGGGGCAGACGCTGGGGACCAAGAGGTGAGGGGGGGGGGGAAGTCTAAATATGAAGTAATTTCCATCCAAACCCAGTCCCTCACTGATTTCTGTTTCCTCTCCCAGTGTTCCCACCTTCACCGTGCACCCCGGTGTCGCCTGTCCTCCCTCTCCTTTGATGATTATTAACAATGTTGATAATGACGATGACTCGGATGATGATGATGACTCAGATGATGGTGATGGTGACGACGATGAGCCGTCTGTGCCTTTGGAGCAGTATCGAGCCTGGCTTGGTGAGTTCAATGTTAAGATGTAAGGTCAAATGCTAAATACTGGAACTTGACACCACATGATTCTCCAAAGATCAATCTAGGTGGACAGATTGTTGGTTTTCTGTTCATTTCTCTCATTTTTGCTTTTTAAATATTTGACAGTTTTATCTCTTAACACGTCAACTTTATTTCTTTTTATGTGGTCACACGACACGGGTTGGGGAAACCCAAAGATCCCCAGAACAGTAGTAAAACTACAACCAAGAGTATTAAGTGTATCACATTGATGCAAAAACATTAACTTGCACCGGTACAGTACTCTAAGATCTCTCCATATATGATACTTCTTTTATGAGTAGCCTTTAAAAACATATTATGTACCTTAATTGTCAGTTGAACAACATCCAATGACAGCTAAACAAAAGCTTTAATGCTTGTGAATGTTCCCTTTATTCACATCAAAAGCCTTTCTTACTCCGAGGCGCACAGTGGATGCTAGTTAACCTCAGCTGTATTTCAGTTGTACCATGGTGAGGATTTATTTTCTGGACCCCACATTCATCATGTTTATCCGGTTTGTATTGCGTCAGACGAAGACAGTAACCTGGCCACATCCCCTATGCCAGACATAGACTCAGACTCCATGATGGTGCCCGTGGACGAGGAGGAGCGGTGGCTCGAGGCTCTGGAGAAAGGAGAGCTCGACGACAACGGGGAGCTGAAGAAGGAGGTGGACGAGTCTCTGCTCACAGCGCGGCAGGTGAGGAGGAGGAGAGACACTGAACTCTCATCACCTGTTAGTCAGAACATGCTTTAAGGTGGAACGTGTAAGACTAGGATTTCATTTAGACATTTCAGTTGGATATTTGTCTTGTGTTACAGAGTGCATGTGGCTAGGCTTTACAGATGGTTGCTTTTATAAGTTGCTATAAACAAGTGGCCGTTTATGTAATTAACTCAGTTCCTATTCTACTTATTCTGCAATCTATTTAAGTTCTGACTCACAGGAGGCGGATCAAACTTAAACAAGGGTATTATTGAAAGTAAATGATAGCGTTAAAGCAACTGATTTCCATCCAAATGACATCTTGCGAGCTTCACTACAGACTTGATGATTTAATCACATGCCATATCACTGAATTCAATATCTAATACTTGGTGAAATGGTCAAAAACTTGTTGTGATACTAACTTGCAGACTTCCAGCATCTTACTAGCATACCGTAGTGAAAAACTATTTTGAGTCACTAAAAGCTGCTTTAGGGCAGGATCGCCTGTCGTAAATAAATAACAGGAAAATACAGGAACTGAAACATTAATTTAGCATGGTCCACTTATATCAATATATACAAAAAACGGAGGTAGTAATTTACCTGATGTTCAACAAATATGTAATCTGTCATGCCAACATGTTCTCTCAAATATAAACGTGTGCTTTAAGGAGTGTTTTTGTCGTGTTTTCAGAAAGCGCTGTTACACAAGCAGCAGACCCAGCCGCTCCTGGAGCTGCCGATGGGCTACAAGGAGAAGGAGATGACGGCGGAGATGATGCAGAAGCGGGAGGAGCGAGCGCGGAAGAGACGCCTGCAGGCGGCCAAGAAGGCGGAGGACAGCAAGAACCAGACCATCGAGAGGCTGACCAAAACCAGCAAGGCCAAGATCAAGAGCATGAGGGAGAGGAAGTCCAAGCTGAGCCAGAGCCCCATGGTGCGCTACCGAGACAACGCCCTGGGAATGAACATCTCCTTCCCCTCGGGGGTTCCTGCTCCGACCCCCACCCCCCCCTCTGCTCCTCCTGCAACCCCCCTGACCTGCGGGGTCACCGGCTGCCCTAACATCAAGAGGTACGCCTGCTCCAAGAGCGGGGTGCCCCTCTGCAGCCTCGAGTGCTACAAGAGGAACATGCTGCTGGTTCAGAGCGCTGCGTGAACTCTAAAGGACGAATGAACTCTGTTACTACATCCGGATGAAGGTGCATACAGACTACATCCTCAAACATTTGAATGGATGCGTCTGGAAAGGATCATTTGAACTCGACACAAATCATTTCAGGACTGAATCTTTTTTGTTGTTGCCGTGTCATCCTTATAATAATGGTTTTCCCTGGTCACACAATTCAATTATGTTCATTATAAAATGCAGAATTCTAAGATATGTTTGCCGAGTCTTAATCAATACTGATAAGATTCATATTTGTTGGATATGTTTGGAGAAAGAATAGCATTATTTCCACTCCCTTTGTCAGTAATGTAGAATTATGTTGTGGAGACGGACAAACAATAAAAGAGAGTTGCTTCTTTAATTGACTTCGTTATTACAAAACTGTACATCTTAAATAAAGTATCATTTATTTGTTCCAACACTGCAAGTTGTTACAGCCTTATTTGCTGTCAACATGAAGCATAGCTGCAGCAGAATAGTTTCAGTTGGTCCAGCTTAGTAAACGTTAGGGCGTCTGCTCTTAACAGGTAAACACATTTTCTGAGGTATTCACTGATTGGCTTTTCACTTACACAAACACACATATATATATATTATTAAGACATCTGTGGTCGGCAACAAAGCACAAAACCATGACCTGGTTAGAACTCACTGCTATTTGCTTATCGCTGCTGTTATCTGCAGAACATCATCTCTGAAATAGAGTCCCTTTGTTAGATCCAGACTACGTGCAGATAATCCCCAACAGTTTTTCCTGAGAGTTCAACAGATGCTAAGAAGTGTCCATAGTGTCCATCCTTCTCGTCACAGATCTGATCACAAGGCCAGGCCGAAGGAGAGTCTGAAGGCCATCTCTACGGGAACCTCTGCCACCGAGTCGTGGAAACACACGTAGAACTCCTGAGGGACCGGCTCGAGCAGCATGCGACTGAGACATGGAAAAATACATTAGACTAGGGGGGGAAAGGCAGGCGTGATATTTTCAGCAAATTACCCAGAATGCAATTTTGGAAGTTAGAGATGATCATGAAATGTCATAAGACACACAGATAGATCAAAACCTTTTTTTTTTTATGTACTTCTAAAAATAGTTAAAAGCACAAATTAAGGCAAAACGCTCTCAAGTAGAACGGGGAATTTTGAGCCTAATTTGAATAGTTCCATCCAGGTACTCCATAGTTATCATGTAATAGGATAAAGTGTACCCTATCACCCAGTAGGTCATGGTGGGAGCGGGCTTCCTCTGGTCCGTCCAGTTCTCAGGTTTGCACTGAAACAGGACCCCGTGCTCCTTCACTGGGCCGAGACCCCAGCCCTGAGGCCGGTCTGCAGCGCGCCGGCCCTGCAGGGGGACAGGTCATTCATTCATTATACTGTCGATTTGTTTTGCATATTTTGGACATACTATGTTTTTTTTTCAGAACATTTCACATGTATTTTCTTTAGCATATTTTGGACATCCCCTCTGTGGGACGAATAAAGGTATTCGGATGTCGTTTTTTTGCATGTTCCGACATAACTATACTATGTCGTTTTTTGCATATTTGCAACTATTATACTATACTAGTTGCAAATACGCAAAAAATGACAGTATAGTATTTTTGAAAACGATATAGTATAGTAGTAGTATAGTATGGTGTTTTTTTGCATATTTTCGACATAGTATGACGTTTCTTTGCATATTTTCAAAATACTATACTCTGTGTTTTTTTGCATATTTTCAAAATACTATACTCTGTGTTTTTTTGCATATTTTCGACATAGTATGACGTTTCTTTGCATATTTTCGACACAGTATGTTGATCAGATACGGTCTGCGGTTCTAAACACATTTCTTCATGGCCTCCTAGAGGTGACCCACCCTGGCCGGCAGGCTCTGCTGGAACGCAGCGCGGATGGAGAGGCAGCAGTGGTGGAAGTTGCGGATGAGCTGCGGGTGGATGGAGCCGCTGAGCTGAGCCTCCTCCCTGTGGGTCGGAGCGATGAAGATCCCCTGGACACTCTCCATCACGACGTAGTGGAACAACGTGTTCTCTGCCCCAGAGGTCAGTCTGTCACAACAAGAAGCTTTTTAGCAAGTTCTAGCCAAAATTAAAAAAAACACAAGAAATGCATCTCATCACCCACTTCATGGTGTTGTACATCTCCTCCGTCTCCCTTTCCGTCAGGGTCTTCTTCAGGGTGCCCAGGAAGAATGGGTTCGGATGCTTCATCCTGGGAATCTGATGACAAAGCAAACATTATTACCCTGTGAGTGTGGTACGTTAACAAAAATCATTGGGTGGACACACCATTTAGCCTGTTCTTTTATATGTACATGACAGGTGTCAGGGCATAGAAAGGTTTCATTCTAATACTGTTCTGTATTCCAACTAAAAACATGTTTTGTGACCTTCCTTTGTATATCTAGCCTCAAGGAAAGACTCCAACTGTACCTTAAAGAGTCCTCCGCTGCCTCCACTCCCCTCAGACCCTCCGGACCCCAGGGAGTCCCGACGGCCCCCCAGCTTTCTCCCCGAGTCCGGTGTAGAGTGTGGACTGAGGCCTGGAGCCAGTGATGTCCCAGCATCCATCTGGCCCTCGCTGCCGCTGTCCGATTGGCTCCTCTGAGGGCTGCTCCGCCGGGCCCTCTCTCCGAACAGGCTGCGGCCCCTCGACCCCCCCGAGGAGCCTCTGACGGCCCCCGCCAGCTTACTGAAGACGGGGGAGGACGAGGCGAGGCTGTCCAGGCGGTCGCGGGCCGCGGGGAGGAACCAGTCGGCACAGGACAGGCAAGGGGCCGGGGGGGCGTTCAGGCGCTCCTCAACACCAGCCTGCAACACCTCCAGCTGCAGCAGGGTGGCCTTCACCTGGGCTCAGAGAGGAAATAGAAATAGTGAAATAGTAGCAATTTGTTTGGTGTGCATTTGACAATAAAAACCTTTAAAAAATGAATGTCGCAGTACTTCTATTTTTGTCCCTTTATCCTTCCTCGTCAGTATAGTGGACAGTATCTCCGCCTATTTACATTGAATAGGCTGTAAGAGTGACTAGGTAATATGTTAGGCATTAGCTTTGAAGAATAACAAGGTTCACCTGATCTACGTAGACACAGTCGGGTCCTGGAGAGCCCAGAGCTGCTGAAGCACAGCCGCCGGCCTCCAGCAGCACGCACTGCATGAAGTGCCTCTGAGGGAGGGGGAGGGGGAGAGAGAGAGAGAGAGGAGAGAGAGAGAGAGAGAGAGAGAGGAGAGAGAGAGAGAGGAGAGAGAGGAGAGGAGAGAGAGAGAGAGAGAGAGAGAGAGAGAGAGAGAGAGAGAGAGAGACAGGAGAGAGACAGAGAGAGAGAGAGAGAGAGAGAGAGAGGAAGGATTACAAGGGGAAAATATAACTTGTACCATACACAAATATAACTGAGTAGAAATCGGGCAACAAGGAGTGATTGGTGTGGAGGAAATTCTTAAGAGAAACTGATAAATGATTGATGGACAAAGTGTGTCTTTGTTATATTTAATAAAGTAATAAAGAAAGTCAATATACAAGTGAAATCCCAAATGGATAGAGAAGTTCTGCACCCCGAGCACAGCTGACAGTCGCACTGTTGGAGCCATAATGCATGTGTCTTTGTTTGTATTTTACCTGCACGTGTAATTAATGATGCAGTTCCAACTTTCTACACTAGATGGAGTATTCACTCGTGTGAGTGTGTATAAATGTAACCACTGGGTGATCAGGTGCAGGTGGTTTGGGACGGAAGCAAACAGTTTTCGACCGTGTCGGCAGAAGCCGTGTCAATATGAGCTGTGTGTGTTAAACCTGTTTGTATTCAGCGTGACTGGCGTGCATATTATACTGGTATCTGAATGGTAACAACAAAATAAATGGATCGATGGATTGAAAGATATACACTCGTATGGACATTGTTTTGTCATCTGGAACACGCGTCCGAACTTAGTTCTCCGGTTCCCATCCATTACAATACAAATCTGAATAATATCATGTTTTGTTTGAAATCATTTCATTTTTGAGCAGTCGCATGTTGTGACGTGTGTGTGACGTGTGTGTGACGTGTGAGGTTAAGGACACAAGTTCCCTCGCTTTTTTCTTTTTGCATACAAGTGATTCAGCTATTGTATTACAAGAATTAGCAGTGATGGATATTTCTGGGACGTTTAAGGCGTCTACTTCTGCACTAAGGTAGGACACTGGTTAATAGACATATTGTAGCGTGTTCAAGTAACCAAGGGATATAGTAGTTATCAAATAAGTATAAGATGTGCACAGTTATGATAAGTTTCACAGTTATGTAATGCACTGTTGTTGGGGGGAGAGACCGCCCCTTCCATATGAGAGTGTGTGTGTACGGCGGGCATGAGGCGTGCATGACGGGACGAGTTGTGTTCGTATGTGGGAAAGTCGTATACTCAGTGCGGTGAACGCTGGCTTTATTGCTACTGTATCCGTAGCACCCCACGCAATAGTTGGGACCGTGTACTGACGTCAGTAAAAAAAGGTTTGCCCCCCCAAAGCGCAAATGTCAAACTCCGCCTATGCACTACACACACTATAAAGTAGAGAGAATATCCAACTGGTCCCACCATTACATTCCCTTTATTATCTAAACATCCCCACCATTAAACCATGAAACCCCCCAGTCCTTAACCAGTTGCATATCCCCCTTTACTTCCTTTGCCCTCCTGCAATGTAAACCCTTAACATATGTCTCTGTTAAACACATACAAGACTACATTACAATGTAACAGGCAATCAGAGTATAAGACCAGATGTTTAAAATGATTATATGATCATGTGACACGACAGTTGGCCTCCTCCTCACCAGCCCCACTATGAGGAGGAAGTGGCGTCCTTGGGGTTGGCTGAATCCTGGGTTGTTGGTGCTCGCTCTCTGCTGGGGGAACACCTCCCTCCAGATGACCAGCTGACCCACGCGCTGCTCAGAGGCCAGAGGCAGCAGGCAGTAGTGCTGGCAGTACAGGCACACGTCCAGCAGGTCCTCTTTAGGCAGGTGGTTGGCGATCAGGTAGGACTGCAAGGGGAGCGTGGAGACAATTAAGTGCAGTTTTTATCAAACAAATGAAGGGTTTAAAGCCAGCAGTGTGAGTGAAAATACATTTGATAGAGTGGAATAAAACCACTTCTACGCTGCTATGGACAATCTTGCACTAATGTACATCCCCAAAGATATTGAAGTAACTGTTATTTTGTATATATTGATTGTTGTGCTTTTATCTTAATGTGTGCATATGTGTCTGTTGATTGTGTATATATATAGGATATACATATTTTATACATATTTTTATATATATTTGTATTCGGGATTGTGGGAAACGGTATTTCAATCTCTCTTGACTTTGAAGTACA